GAGACAGCCAAAACAACTTGCTCAACCAACCGACCAAGAAACAAAGAAATTAGTCTAATGATTCTCTGGGCTGATCATTAACTCATATTGGCCAAAATCACATGACTACAGTTATGAATAAAGAACAAGGTCAGCAAACTCTGTACAAGAATACACCATTTAGGTAAACACATTCGATACAGAGGCTTGATTTACTATGTGTACCTGTCGATTCTTAAAGCCATTCTAAGTTCTAAACATTCAAAAATGCAGATAATTGCACACCAAATCAGCCAAGATGTTCTGAACTAGATCAACATAAGACCCTGTTTATCAATCTAAAAATTGTCATTAACTTCTTAAAGCAACAAGGCACATAAAGCCATGCTAAGTTCTAGTGAACCACATGATAATACAATAACTTGCACAATCAAGTACCAGAATTAGGACTCAGTTCACATGTTGAATCACAAACAAAAAGAAGAGAAACCTCTATATATTTGCCAGTTATCAGCATTGTCGTTTGGTAGAAATCAAGATGCTGGTGGAGGTTAAACCCATCAAATCACATGGAGAGTTAAGATGGACCTTTCAATATTGTCATTTTTTTCTTTTTTTTCTTTTCCAACATGTAACATGTGATGATCTTTAACATTGTTAGAAAATTACCACAGTGTTTCAAAAGTCTCACCTTATAACTCATGTTCACGATGCAAAAACATAAATGCCCCATATATAAATGCTTAACATTTATAATTCACAATATTTAAAGACATGACTGTCAAGACAATATGTAAAGACATAACAGAGAGTAGCAGACATAATCACCAATTGGTCAAGGAATGAGTCACATATATGTGCGGTTTCTTTTCACGTTATCATGTAAAAGAATAGGAGTATACTACAAAATCCTAAGAATTATTTACTGAAAAAGTCTCACAAATTCCAGAAGTACAGGAAATACAAAGAAGTAAAAAAAATGGCCACATAGCATATTTATATTTGTCATATCAAAGCTCAAAACCCTCTTGATTTACAAAACTGAAGAATGCAGGCCATGATCCCCAATTCACTCAAACAGGTAATTCCAAATTCACCGTCACTATGTAACAAAATGCAAGTCAATTAAAGAGTAGAGTCTCAAGAAATCGATCTATGTCTGAACGATCTAAATAATGAAGGTCAGCTCAACATATCAACCGATGCTCTGCATAATTTGTCAGAAATTCCCATTCAAATAACCTTTCTATGAAGAATTAGACCGATTTCGAAAAGACAAGATCATACCCTGCAAGCAGTCGCAGTTCTCTGCTTCTTTCCTCACCACATCGAGGACCGAGTCGATGAGCTCGGCACCCTCAGTGTAGTGCCCTTTGGCCCAGTTGTTCCCGGCACCGGACTGGCCGAAGACGAAGTTGTCAGGCCGGAAGACCTGGCCGAACGGACCGGATCTGACAGAGTCCATGGTACCGGGCTCAAGATCCATAAGCACGGCGCGGGGGACGTACCGGCCACCACTGGCTTCGTTGAAGTATACATTGATCCGCTCGAGTTGAAGGTCCGAGTCGCCGGAGTACTTCCCGGTGCCATCGATGCCGTGCTCGTCGCATATAACCTCCCAGAATTTGGCCCCGATCTGGTTCCCGCACTGCCCGCCCTGGATGTGAAGGATCTCCCTCATCTTCTTCTCCTCTTCCGCCCACCAAATCTCTTCTAGGGTTAGGGTCTCCGATTGCCGGGGACGAATGAAAAGGCCGACCCTTTATGTAAGGGTGGTCGATCTCCTCATGACCGGTACGCTTACCGGCTGTAAGTAACCCTACGACGGTGGCTCGCCTCCGCCGTTACTTAGATCACGTTACACGTCAGAGAGTCATCATAAGATGCTCATCGGACGGCACAGATGCGACTGAGACGCGGAACGAAGCGTGGTTGTGACGTAAAGCTAACTGACACGTCGAGCTGGCGTGGCTGAGCTGTCACCGATCGTGTGCTACAGTTGGATGGAAAGCGATGGTTGGTTGGGGTCCTTCGTGAGCTGTTCTCGATGTTGACCGCAAGCCTGGTAGGTTGACTAGGACTGGGTTTAGGTGATGGGAGGCATCCCACCTAAGATTCCCTCGTGTGTGTGTGTGTGTCGTGTACTAAGTCCTGCCTCCTCCGGCTCGTGACATGGATCCAATATGACATTTTCAACGGGGACTACGGTCGTTGATTCCGTCAAAGCCTAGAAAGTAAATGGAGTTCGTTGTGTCTCAAAATTTATGATAGAGAAGACTGAGGAAAGAAAATTCATTTATAATAAATTTTTTTAGATGTGATCTCCTGACTCTCCTAATTATTTATTATATTTTTTTCTCACCTATTAATAAATAATATCTTCTTAGACTATGCATCCTATAAGATTTATTTTCAATTTATATTAGTCCATGTTTTATCATTTATAGTGGTCCTGTGAAAAATATAAAGAGAAGACAATAAGGGTCTAATTTATCTTACATGTCTATGTTATTGTTACCTAATGATTAGATTACGGAGCACGTTCTCAAATCAGATAAAGATTTTTAGAATAATATCGAAAGGTACGTACATCTAATTATCGATCTATTGTTATTTGATTTTAGTTCATGATATTAAATTTATTTCACACAATAACATTATTATTGTCTTTATGCTTACGATTTGTATTATAATAGATTTCGAAATAAAAATAACTCATATTTTCAACAAAAAAAAAAGATCTATTTATGTGATTAAATTTATTTTTTCCTTTTGAAACATTATTTAAATCTCGAATTAATATTATTTTTGAATGAATCTATGATGTATTATGTTTGATCTATTAATCTACTTCTTTGTGCTCCTCGTTTGCTTACGGGCAATGCAACGTAGGTGGAACTACAGTAAAATAATGATGCTCATATTTGTTTGACGGGCTGCTATCTATAACATCACTATTAAGGGCAACAACCTTCATTGGTCGTCAGCTATCGTGAGTAATGACTATGCAAATGATAGTGTTAATGCATGCAACAATGAGTATCTATGTGCAGTAGCATTGGTGTTGAGGTGGTTTGTCTTAGTCATCAACGTTGTATGCATAGTAGTATCACTATGTATGGTAACACAAGAAGGCAGAGCCCCGTTGGGTGTCAGTATGCATCTATATTGTAGGTGGTCAGGGCAATATTAGTATGCATCTATATTGCAGGTGGTCGGAGCAATGTTAGTATGCATCTATATTGCAGGACAACCACAAAGTTGCTATGTGCAATAGGCTACCATGATGATATAATAGCATATGACGTTAGCAAGCTATACTGCATAGCTCATGGTTATGCTATGTTGATAGCACATAATGGAGGTAGTGGATGAGCTGTGCACTATGGTGGACGTAAAACTTTGCCTCGCACTTGCTTGCGATCGAGGTTGATCGCATTAGCAAAAATCATGTGGCTATAATAGGGGGGTTTCAATGATAGTGTTATGGTGTTGTGTTGTTAGCACTTGAGGAGGATAGCCATCGGGAAGGAGGTCATGTGTGGCATTAGTTAGCATAGGCGAGTGGCAAACACTAATGGCATAGCAAAAATTGTATGCCTTCTCATGGTGGTTTAAGGTGCTGCTATGGTCGACAAATGATAATACGTCGATAATACTGTATCATTAATAAGACCACTATGATAAGGAAGATTACAGGACGTAATAGTGGACGATAGCCCCTATAAAGGAGAAGTCATCGTGAGGGAGCAAGAAATGAAGTTTTTAGGCAAAGAAATCAATCAGCTATCCCGATTTAATTTTGACCCATCAATGCCTTGTGTTGATATTAAATCACCGATTCTGATGAGTAAAAATCTTAATTTTGATTCTCTCAATTTAGGTTTTAATCGAGGTTTAATTTTTATTAAAATCAAAATTTTGACTAGCTCGAATTATTTTGATTTTCTTGAATTAGACCTTGATAAAATTTTATATTTGATCAGTCAAACTCAATTTTTGATTAGTGGATAGATTATTGAGCTAACTTTGGGTTATTCAATTCTGAGTGGGCCTATACACTTTGGCTCAATTTTGGTATATCTATTAAATAGATTTGATTAGGTTAATTTATGATCTTATACAAAATTTAAGAGAATAATAAATTATGGATTTCTTTTATACGTTTGCCATATGATATATTCATAAATTTTTACTTATGATAATTAAATTCTAATTATTATTATTCTTAGATATCTATATAGTTATTCACATGTACATATTTAAAATTATAAAATAATATTTATTTTTTATATAAAAATATGATTTATGATTTATCATGATTATAGTCATCATATGAGTTTTCTTTTATTTTGATTGATGTTTAATAATTATTACAATTAATGTTTTATTATCACCAAACTATTTTTTTTATAAATTAGATTAAAGAATATTTTATAAATATTATTTTTAATTTATATACCTAAGTTTTATTTGACATATAGTTGCTAAAGTGGCATAGGATGGTAGACTTATGAGATATAAATTATAATTAATATTTAATCATTTATAGGATATTTTATATTATTATATTAGTCTTAAGTCATCAAAATGACCTACCTAATAACTTATAAAATTAAATTAAATAATTAATATTAAATAATAAAAACATAATATTTATAATTATATACATAATTAAAATTTTAGATAATCCCAAAAGAGAATTTAATTCGAATAATTATATAATAGAGTATATTTATGCTATTACTACTTGTTGATTAAACTATGAAGTATGTTCTCGGATTAGATAAAAATTTTCTAAATAATATCTAATCCTCGATCTATTATTATTTGATTTCAGCTTTTGACGGTAAATTTATTTTACATAATAATATTACTATTTGTTTTTATAAATATATGTGAGAGTCCAATTTGCTACAACTATAAAATTTATAGTGAAATGCAAGCAAAAGTGATCAATGCATTTTACATCCACCTCTATTTGCCATTCTCATCATATATCAGCAATCAAGACAGGAGAATGAGCAAAATCAAAGAGACGAGCGCTGTAGCTGCAGCTGTGCATCAAGATCTGCTTCTCTACGTGCACAAATCTCTCTGAAGTTTCAGATGTGTTTCTCATCAAAGAGCACTAGCTTCTAATTGTATACAATTGAAGTCCCTAACCTAACCAAAAGACAAAGAAAGAGGAAGGGGATACAGAAACACGCATAGGGGAGAGAGAAGGAGAGATGCTACGACTTGGCCTTGGCGGCAGCCGCATTAACCACTGATCTGAACTGCTCCGCGTCGCAAGGGATGCGAAGCACGCCAGGTTGCCGGTAGCCGAACTCTTGCTCCGCCATCTCCAGCAATGCTGCGAAACGTGGGTGCTTGAAGAGCTTGGTGTGCACCAGAAACCTCTCCTCCTTCTCCTTCCCTCTGCCCACCACCATCGGCACGTAGCCTCTTGGAACCTCATCCTTCCTCCCCATCACCCTCTCTCTCTCTCTTACTCTTCCTCTTTCCCTGACGCAACCTGGTCTCTGATTCCTTCTTTATATAGCGGTGAGCTCTGAGAGACGAATACCATACGTGATGATGGTGAAAAGCGAGAGAGAGAGAGAGAGAGACTTGGAACCGTTCAACGTGGGAAGCGTACCAGCCATCAGTGGCTGTCATGGGATCGCCATTTTTCCTTGGTTGATCATAAGCGAAGATTCTCCGTGTTGAGTTGACCTGTGAAGCGTATAGCTCTCCGATACTTATTCCATTACACGATGTGCCACTGCTCCTTCCATTATTGCTTTAAAGTATGGATCTCTTTTTTACGTGTGCTATTTAAATGTCAATCATTGGCGCTAAAGTCAACGGTTGGAGAGAGATGAGATGAGATGATTGGCCAGTTGACTACTTCAATCAAGTGCAAATGCTTCGTAGCATCTCTTCGAAGCATCACATTACCCAATGTGACCTAAGAAATGGTGATTGATGCGTTAAATCCAAGGATCTTCCAATAATGATAAGTTCACCAATTCGATGCTTATCTGAAATATATATATATATATATATATATAACTATATAAATTATAAATTAATTAATTGAACTAAATTAATAAAGACTCGATTTGACTAGATAGATCCGAATTGATTCCGGTTTGAACTATCTTATTTTAATTGAATCGAATTAATAAAATAGTTCAATTTAGTTTGGGTCTTAATGATTTAATCTAAATCAGTTTGAACACCTCTTATAACTTATTAAATTAAAAATAAATTATTAATTATATTTTTCATTAATTAGCCTTACCCATTTACGTGTGGTTGAATAGACAAATAGCATGGTTTGAACGGTTAATCCTCAAAGTATATATATCACAACCTTTTATAATTCGTATATTATTGTGCTGCGGACTCAAAATCTAAAACACTTAGACTCTTAATTATAAATAAAAATTTAAATATTTTAATTTAAAATATTTTTTTTTTTATAAATCTCAATAATCATAACAAAAGATTTATGTATTCGACTCCATAATTATCGAGACCATAGTAATCTTAATGATCAAAGTCAAAAAAAGTGAGCCACCAAACCTTGGAGGTCTGTTTCCTCCAACTTTGACGATGAACAAAGGACAGGTCTCTTGGTAATCTCCTTCATCAGTTCATCTCTTACTGTTGTTTCCTTGACCTGCTGAAGACTTGCATCATTCTAATTTGTGTCAACTGCTCACGCAGATGATGATGCCAAAAAGAGGAAGAAACGTGAGATGGATAAAGTTAAAGCTGCTTTGATTTATAGAGTTACGTCGAGTCTTGATATTTTATGACTCAATTTTTTAACCAATATTGAAGCTCTTAATCATATTCAAGCAGTCTAATCCTAATCTAATTTAATATGATGTCTTTGATTCTAAGCTCTTTCTATGTATGATTTAATCGAGAATTATCGTAGAACAATTGAATTCATGTTTAGAATTTTCGACTCCAAATATGCTTTCTTTGCTCTAGTTAAATTTTCATACGGTTATGGGGTTGTAAAGACTTAAGAAATATTATCTAAGAGTATAAATCATGTGTATATATTTTTTGGTCTTGAAATGATCAATACAAGATTTGCATTTACACGTATAGTATGTTAGTATAAAATCATAATCATATTATTATGAAAACTAAAATTTAATATCAAAATAAGATTAGGATGTATATTTTTTTATATCATTCAAAATATCTTTCTTTGATTCGTAGAATATACTTCATATAAAATACAGCAATATCGATCTATACAGACAACTAAATTCACCTTCTCATTTTTTTTAAATCTTTTATAGTAGTATAATTATGAGTAATGAGAATGATCAATAATTTCGATGGTTATATATAGTATCGAGATTCTATCTATTTATAGACGAAAGCAGAGGTTATAAGATAAGTGATAAATGATCATAAGTTATTCTATTACAAAATATACTTTCATTTTATTTACCGATAATTAGCAATCACCGTGGAATATTCTTCTTCTTGATTTCTTGCAAGGGAGGAGCTTCCGGTTCGACTTGGAGATGACTCCGACGACATGGCGGAAATGATCGACGTCGCACAGAATCCTCAAAGTCCCCTGCTTCGGGTGGCCGAGCTCGTCGGTCGCCATGGCCAGCAGCACGACGATGCACGGGTCCTGAACCAGATTCACCCGCAGGAGAAACCTCTCGGTGGCGGGACTCCTCCCCACGATCACCGGCACGTAGCCCTTGGGCGTCGCTTCGTGCGCCTCGCTGCCGCCCGCCAGCGTCATGTAGCTCATCAACCTCCTCCCCATCTCCTTCATGGTCTGCACAACTTGGTCCCAGGGTGGACTGTGGAGCACTCGTTTATAGCACTTCGTTCTCCTCTTGGCGTCTGTGGGGAAGACCAGCGTTTAATTGGGGTTACTGCTTCTAGAGGAGATGATTGTCGATACGTAACTGGTCATCTCTGTAGCTCGAAAAGCAGAGGAAAACATGAGCGAGTTAATTAGCACAGTTTGTACATACAACGAAGCATGACAGCAATGTGTTCGAAGAAATGCATCATCTAAGTGTTTCAGACACAGTAATTGATTGCAGACACAGTAATTCAGCTTACCACAGTGACAAGTGAATAACCCAACTGATGAGGATAATAATTATCATAAGACTCGGTTGACATCAAATGACGCCTCACGCATCAGCACCTGATCAATGCAAATTGGAACGCCGATCGAGGCGCATTAACATCCTGCCAAAGCTCAATTCTTCACGTCATGTCAACACAAAGTCAAATGCTACCAGCCTGCCCCCTACAAGCGGGCAGCTCAGGAAGCAGTAAACTTCCCTATAAATACCCTCTCGTTCATACGAGAGGGGAGGGAGAGATAGACACACAAAAACACTTCTTCATCTGAAACCCCCTCCACATCTGCTAATTTGATCATCGGAGGGGTCGGGTCGAGCACCTCGGCCCGACCTTTGTGCAGGTGCGAAGCCGAAGGTCCCCTCCGGACGCGCAGGCAAGGAGTTTCTGCACGGAGGAGACGGCTACACCGTCCCGATCGGACACCGCACCCGACCGTCTCAGCGGGCTCGAGGAACGCCCCAGGGAGATCCCCGTCGTCCGGACCCGAACCGAGCCGTGTCAGCCCCGAGGCCACGGCTCAAAGTTGTTTCCCACAGCACCAACATAATAAGTAATCCATTAATATCTTCTCGTTAAAGCTTAAATACGACTTACAATCCTTTTAATTTGGTTGGTTTCGAAATCCTATATATATATATATATATTAAAAATAAAATATTAATCGCTATACCATAGATACTACTTATTTTTTAATATTTAATCGATTTAAAACTATAATCACTATTTTAAAATTGAAATCATCCAATTTTGTTTTCCAAAACAAAAAACTAGAAACAAAAGAACCAGTTTGATTTAGAACCGATAAATCATTGAGTCGACATAGTTCAACACTAAATCCACGATGATCTATTCAATTAATAGATCTAAATTAATCACTAAAAATGAGATATCACTTAAAGATGAAAACTTTTGAGAGTCTGTGTCTGTGTGTGTAGTTTTTCGGTTTTGTGATTTTTGCACACCAATCTTCGTATGACGATAAAACTTTTTCTATGAAAAATCTGTGATTTTATTTTTTATTCTTTTGCTACACATGTGATGCTACCTTAGATTTCCTAATAATTAAGCCAAAAATCCCCTCTCCAGCATTGATTTGTTGTGCAAGGACTCGGGACCAGAAGCCCTTCGTGGATTCACTGAGAGAACACCCTAAGAGACGACAATTATGACTCTCCACCCTTTCTTCTTGAAGCCTTCCTTCAAAATAATCCCATGGATGACCTTACATAATCGGGGCTAAATTAACTGAATTAAACTGTGCCCCTTCTCGAGCCACGATATAAAGAATCACAATATGATTCAAATTCAATCATCATCACTTACCCTTTGAAAAAAAAAGACTAATAATGATATAGTAGATACATTTATCAAATATTTAAGGTTTAAAATCTCACATATTAACTAGTTTGATTGGTAAGAGTTTTTTACCACTAATATGAAAGTCGTATGATCTTCACGTTTTCTATTACATAATGGCACTTCTACTTTAAGAAAAATTAACATACATAATTTTCGATTGTCATAAGTTTTTTTTTCATGCCAAGCATTGGATTGTTGACTCGCCCAATCATGGGCTGCCACTTGGAACCAACATGCACGTAAGGGCTCATGCCACCCCCTTACATGGTCATCGACTGAAGTGCGGGCCCTGAGGAAGGCACATGAGTCAATTATCGATACATAGCGACTAAATCCATCCTCTCAATTTCCCCCTCGGTTGCATCCCCGGTCACCAACGATCCATCGTTCTCAGTATGATTTCGAAAGGGCTCGCATGCTTAATCGCAAGGAGCATTAATCTTAGATGATAAGCCTAGCTCTCCTCCTCGGGCACCTAACACCAAGCCCCATCCCTTGTCCATCTCAAGTGTGCCCTCGCCCTAACAAATGGTTCACCCCCAATCGTCCTTCCTTGACACAATTGACAGGGATATTGAGATATCTTGGGTAGTATTATATGTAACAAAAAATAGAACAGGTTCTTAAAAATCCAATATCGGATAATCATACGATGATTAGTATGTGAAAAACGTAAAATCGAAAACCGAATAACATATATGAGATGATTTACCTAGGGGAGATCATATATCCTTGAAATTATAGATCCAAATCTCTGGATGAAGGAGGTCAGACCTCATCTCTAGCGGTGATCCACATAGCAGATGATGCGACAATGCTCCTCTTTCATAGCGTAATCTTTCATCTCCTTTGCGCATTACAAGACTGCACAAGATCAAGAAGGGGCCAACTCTTCTTACTATCCACATGCCTTAAATAGGATTATCGACTAAGGAGGAGAGGGAGATAGAAGAATAGGAGGTGGCAAGCAAAAAGGGTTTAGCCTATACCTCTTTAATTCTCTCCTA